GKTTMMCMAAAAACCTTTTTTGTTTGTTAAACATTATAATATTACCTACGTCCAAACGAATATTCAGAATAATGGAAGTTTGGTTAGAAATGGTCTAAATAGATACACTGCTCGCGCGTATACCCAACCAACAAATGTCATACTACAGCTGCTTCTCTTTATCATCACCAGTACATCTCTCCAGAAGCCTCATTAAAAAGTATACATATATATTCAAATATATTATATTATGTCTACAAATTATATTAAACAACTTCTGCTTTTTGAGACCCCTAGCTCGTTAGACTGTCTCGATAGTAATTTTTTTTTTTTGACACATAACATGTTTATAAATTCCTTTTAGTAGGTATATATATATACTCGTATATAGGTCCTACGTTCGTCCTGTTACTGAAGAGATAAAAATATGAGCAAATTAATAAACGAATAAACTTGACGAACTTTATGTTTGATTATTTAAAACCTGTGATGGTTCTAATGACGACGTATTTCGTTTTAGACACAAATTGTTATTTTCCATTAAAAAAAAAAAAATAATACACTTTGTATAAAATCTCTTAAAAATAAATTAAATGTATCTTTATTGCTCGGATCATAATCACACCAAACCAAAAACCACGCATGTCATTTCCAATTTTTTTCAATGTATGTATTATTTAAGTTATCTAATTGAAAATATTATACTGTACAATAACTAAGTWGGTAAACGAGTAGGCACTGAACGGATTTATATAATATTATATAGATATATTTTATAATGTAGGTAAGGTATGAATGTCAAACAGTGTATTTATGTCTTATAAAATTAATTGAGTAACAATACAATTATTATCATTTTTAATTATATTATTAATATATATAATGTGCTGTGTGTAGGCAGTATAGCACAACTTATTTGTACTAAGGAATTAATTTTCAAAGTTTTTGAAATTTAACTCGCATGCTGCTATAGGATATCGTGAAATMTTCTATTAAGTTTATTAATATCAAATTACAAAGATAATATAGAATTATTTCAAACTTGTTGCTTATTTTTTTTATAAAGTCGTGTTTGAAATTCCAAAAACAAGTGGATAAATGTTTTACTAGAAAATATGTTATCGTAGAATGTAATAACGACTGTAATGGTTGTAACTCGTTTAAAAATCATCCTGAGGTATGTTTAACCGCAAATCACAATTGATGAAATAAAGTACAGTACACCTATCAGTACTGTTAAGGCATGTTTATACACTTTCTCGAGAGACAGACGAGTGTTTAAATTATTCAAATAAATAAAGTAAGATGCATTTACGAATTACATTAATCTTATACTCGTTTTCAGTAATGGATATTGGATTGCATAATATGTATAACCATAATTCAACTATTTGCGACGTAAAAATCACGGTTTAATTTCCTATCACGTGATAAACAATATTATTTTATTAAATAATAAATAAAATATATATTACATAACGATGGTTGTTTATTACAAACAACACTTYGGTCAGATTCTAAATCATTGACATCATAAAATATTTTCGTTGAAAATAAATTGAAATGTTCTGTCATATACCTAATACATGTATGTATTATTGATATACATACWATTAAATAAGTGTCATTGTGGTATTATGTTATTATACATGAATTTTATATTATAAGTAGTTAATAATTGGTATAGTTATTAGTATCTTATAGAATGCATATGTACAACTATTAAATTAAATTAAATATAATCGTTATTAGGATTATGTGCGTACCTAAAGTCAAAGTTTTTTTTTACATTATTTAACATGTTTCGGATGGACTAAAAAATATATTACATACAATTTTCATAAATAAATATTACACAAATCCCATCATATAAATTTAAAATAACAATTAATAACTACACACATATATTATGTATTAATTATTAAATAAATTTGGTAATATAAATATTAGGTATATCACAATTAAAGTATATTAAACCAATTTGATAAAATGTTATGTCAAGTAACACAAATCAAGGATAAAAGTACATTAATTTATTCAACTTAAATCCTGATGAAAATTCGACACTTAAATTAAAATTAAATCTCAAGGRGGRTAATATAACTGAATTTAAACYAAGGAACGTGTCATTTTAGTATTCGTACTTGAGTAAATAATTAAAATTTTTTTATTTGCCTTTGTCCGACCTCCAAAATATACTATTGAAATTCAACACCGATAACTATATCAAACAATATAGGAACAAAGTCAAAATTTTTTTTATTAAAGAAGACACTTATCTAGTTTTTAATTACCTACGGTCTGGTTTTCAAGAAKTAATGCATCACTTTATACGTAAAAATATGTTATTTATATTAATTGTTACTTGTTTAACAATAAATTTCCCGGAATCGTATTTTTGTGTAACAAATTAAATAACAAATTCCAATTTTGTAATAATATGAACAAGTGGATGTTTATTATTATTYATTTATTAGTCAGCATTCAGTGGTATGCCATTTATGTTTAATAGTCACACTATTAAAATACATAGATGTTTAGTTTAATCATAGGTATCGTTGTYGTATACTTACATCACAAGTCACAATAAATATTTATGATGGCCGAACGACACGAATATTGTATTAAGAAACAATACGGACCATCACCTTCATTGAAGACATTAAAATTGATTTACTGTGCAGTTGCGATTCATTTTTCAGGAGGTTACCTAAGAATAATTAAATAGTATATGGTTTACGACAGTACGGAAGTCAAACTATAATCACCGTTCCTCCGATTGTAATTGTTAACAAATGACAATAACTACTCATGTAAAATTGGAAAATATATATTATATTTAAATGTGATTTTATATTGACATTACATTTGTTTTACAGTCAAAAACCAGAAGGAGAACTTAAATAAGTACACATACTTCCAATGAATATCAGAGCAATTTAGTTGTTAAGTTAGAAATTCAATTTTTTATATCATAATAAGTCCATACAGGGCATTTTTTWAATTTTTTTTCTACCTATTTGTCAAYGTCTGCTGATGCAGTGCGGAGGTTACTTAGTAAACAACATAAAATTAATAATTTCAATATCGTAGAGTTGGAAGGATTTAATTATAATACCATGGCTTACAGAGTTACCGAGGCTGACTGAACGATCGAGCATACTGTTTTATGAATGTATATAAAATACTCCTCTAATACCAAGAACGAATAAGCGCGCACAGTTCATAATATTCTTAGTATTCATTGTTTTAACAAAGTATACTTTTATGGAATTATTTATAAATTATACATTTTCAGTACTGTTA